ATTACCGTAGTTACCGCCGCTGCCGCACCCCGCGCCTGGGCCCGGCGCTGTTGGCGCGGCCGCCGCGTGGCGCGCGAGGCTGGCCCCCGATTGGCTGGCGCCCCGCCGCCCTCCCGCCCGCGATCAAAATGGCCGCGCCCGGCCGTCGCCACAGCGGGAGTGGCCCATAGCAACAGTACCGCTCGAGCGGACTACTGCTTCTCTTTCCTGAAGGAAAACGAACAAGGAAAAAAGGAAAAAAAAAAACCAAACCCATCCTCCAAACACACATACAGAAAAAAAAACAAAAACCCCAAACCAAAACAAACAACAAAAAAAAAAACACCACAAAACAAAACCAAAAAACCAAACCACAAAAATCCCTCATAAAACCAACCAAAAGCCAACAGTGCAGTGCTAGAAGAAAGCGGACACTGTTTCAGCCTTCTATTAGTAAAAGCACGCGTGTGAGGAGCACCAGAGGTGGGGAAACGTTTTGATACACAGCAGTATCCACAGCCAGGCGGCCTGAGCTCGTATTTCACAGCTATGTTTCCCATTAGGTTGCTAGGTGAGTTTACATACACGGGATCACAGAATTTTCATCAACATTCAGTACAGTGCATAACACAGTGTGACACTTAAGGCAGAATAACTCAAAATGGAGACCAGGTGCTGCCCCTAGAACTTACAGTTCATTCATGGATAGGGACAGCAGCTAATTAGGAAAAATTATTGCTGTAGGTTAATGAATAAGAGCAATTTTGGTTTCAGTCTGGTGGTAGGCGGCAGGATTTAAATTCTAAAGGTGAGCGAACTCCAGAGAGCTTTCCAGAGAAACTAGACAAGCTGCTAGAACATTCAGAGGACATCGTGTTTACGCAGATGCAATGTTACTCGCTGTCTTTGACTGACGTCAGAAGCAGCTCAAGCACCTTAAGTGCTATCAAGTGTACCAGAACAAGACTTATTTCAGTAAGTCTGACATCTGAATTGTTTTGTACGAATTGTTTTGCTGTGACATTTGGGGAATTCAATGTAAAAGACAAGAAACATGGGACCATTATCAGTGAAATGGCAAAACCAATGTTTCTGTGACTGTATGACAAAATATTTCCTGTGCTTGCCATACCTCTCAGTGTCACAGACCAAACTCAAGCGAAATAAAATTAATATATTTTTAAGAATCTTTAGAATCTTTACTTTTAAGGTTTCTTGTTCATGCTAGTTAGTTACACAGATATCTCCAAAACTGATGTTCAAAGTCTTGCTGAGAAACTGCTTCAAGTTGCTCCCTACCAAACTTGGTTTTCTTCAAAAAATAATGCTATGTGCCCGTTTCCTTAACATTTGATTCAGTGTTTTAGGTTTTCATTATTTTAGTAACTCTAAAATTTCTGGTTGGTTTGGTTTGGTTTGGTTTGGTTTGGTTTGGTTTGGTTTGGTTTGGCTTGGTTTGACTGGGGTTTTTTGGTTGGTTTTTTTTTTTTTTTTTTTTTGATTGGTTGGTTGGTTTCGGTTTTGTTAGTTTGGGTGAGTATGGTTTTTCTTGGGGTTTTTTTTTGTTGTTGTTTGGATTGGGTTGGGGTTTTTTTTTCTACATTGAATGGTACACATGACACAGAGCTTTTGGTACACCATGCAAAAGGGAGGATTACTGAGAAGTGTCAAAAGTGTTCCTTGTGCATTGATTGTGCATCAGTCATTGGGTAGGCCCTAAAGACAGGCGTTGTATAGTACTTGTGAGGATGTCTCGTTCTACATTCCAGTCTCTCATGCGTACGCCTTTCACAGCCCACAGATGTGTTGCAGAACACACCTGTGCAGGTAGCTTGGAGTACAAGCTACAGATTGTACCCTGACTGGTGGGAAATAGCTGCAGCCCCAAACAACAAGCTGTGAAGGGGCACTGCCCTTCTGCCTAACAAAGAGCACAGTCTGGGAATGCCAGCCATCATCCAGAGCCTCTGCAGGGCCCAGTGAACAGCGAGAAGACCTCAGATGCCACATAATTTTTACTGTTGTTTTATGTTTTCTCTTTGACTTGAGATCTGATTTCTTTTGTAATATATCCTATATACTGCATTTGCCACTATAATCACTACTTTATTTTGTAGTCAAAGGCAGTTCCCTTTACTGTTTTAGAGCTTCAAAAGCATAAACTAATTTGGTGAGATACCAGATGTCTCTGTAGAGAGAACAGTCCCAAACAGACCCAATTCTGTCACTTTGGCAAATGATGTCTTCTTCACCAGTCATCATTTTGCTGAATTTGTTGAAGCGCTTGCGCTTTTTGTTCTTGCTGTTTTCTTCCTGTATCTTCCTAGACC